CATGTATGCGAGCATGCACGTTCTCTCTCTCTCTGTCAAATAAATAAATAAAATCTTTAAAAAAAAAAAGAGAATAACAGAATTTTCCAAGGAACAAAAACAGAATGGTGCCTCAAGGAAACTCACAGCAGAGGAACCAGCCGGACAACTGCTGACCTTTTTTTCTTTAGAATTTGCCTGCCCATTGGGTATTGCTCACTTTGCTTCTGCTGCCACGCCCGATCTCTGGCATACACACTTCCTCGAGCAGCTGAAGCCCAGACAAAAGCTTCTTCCCTTGGTTTCCCTTAGTATACTTTTTTTTAAGTATTTTTTCAATAGGAAATTCAGTAAAAACTGAAAGGGAAGCGAAGAACGTCCAAATAGCGTAAAATGGGCCAGCTTCCTGAAGTAGATAATGTCCGAGCTCTGCGCAGATCTGCTGCGATCTCTTTCAGAGAAAGCCCAAACCACACTTCCCCCACCTCTGCAAGCATACCCCACTCCCATTAGTTGAAGCCTCAACTCATGCTTGGCCTTCATCTCTGTGACTTAAAACTTACACTCCCACTGACTGTCCTTGAGAAGTGAGGTTCAGCTTAGGTTATCCCTTGGTGAAAGGAGATTCTCTAGAGGTAAATTTTGTGAAAGGACAGCTCCTGAGGAACTAAGAGGAATCTAAGAAATAACTGGGCTGAGAAGTGACTATGGCAAGGAAGGGAGTGACAAAGGGTGTTGCAAATTCCTCCACATCACCTTTGACTTGACACGGCTTTGGGGTGTCTTTGGATGACCTCAGACAACCTTCTGAAGCAGATGGAACAGAAGGAGGTTTTTTGGTTTTTTTTGGTTGGGGATTGTCTCTATTTCCTATCTCCTCATAGCATCCTTGTTATTTTATATCCCCATAGAACAGAGCCTACTCGACCCCTTCCTTCCCAGAACAGTAGACCCCAGAAGAAGGAGGGACGATTTAGCATGCTCAACCAAATCTTCTGCAAAAACAAAAAAGAAGAGCAGAGGGCCTATTACAAGGATCACAGCAGGGACCGACACAGGGGGGAGCACACCTCGGAAGTCGATGACATCATCACCACCTTTGACAGCATCGTGGAGACCAACTGCCAAGACGAGCCTGGTGATCAGGTGGCTATGATCGACTTTAAGAAGAGGACCTTGGAGAATTCAAAATATCTCTTGCCAGAAAAGAAGCCTCTGGCCCATAAGGGGCTTCCACCAATCAGAACGCAGAGTCTCCCACCCATCACCCTGGGCAGTAAGTTCCTGATGGCTTCCCAGGGGGCCACTTCCCAAGCTGGCCTGAGCTCCGGTACTCATCAGATGGCCCAGCGATCTCAGAAAAGCCGAAGTGAGCAGGACTTACTGCACAACAGAACTGGCTGCCAGACATTGCTAGATAACCCCTGGAGAGGTGATTCTAACCAGGTGTTCTGTAAGGCTTGGACTGTGTCTTCTTCTGATAAGCTGCTAGACAGATTGCTCACCAGCAGGTCTGGTCAGCAGGAGGTCTTGGGGCTGCCCCATCTTCCTCACCTACACAATCCTTCATCAGGTATTGTCCTTGCTTCCTTCTCCCTCATTCCGGGCAAGCTCTCTCTATGTGAGAAATGTTTCCTGTAGTTCTGGGTGAGGAACTGGACTGACGGTAGTAGCCTAGAGGGCAGGGCCAGAACAAAATGGTGATTAGGGCCAACTTTTTTCCTTGAATCCATTGGATTTAAGATCTCCAGGCTGTGGAAGCATTCTGCTTTTCCACCCTGAGAGCAGTCATCATGTTGAAGTATGTGCCTTCTCATCTTCCCAGCAAATATGTGTGGTGACTGGCAGATTCAAGCGGGAATGTTAGTATTTCCAGTAGCAAAGATTCTTAACCAGGGGTAAGTGGCAAAATCAATTATGAGGAGTTGATTTGTTTGTGTGATGACTTGTTTTTAAATCAGGTGTTCAATCCCTACTCCAGACCTACCAAAGCAAAATCTTGGTGAGGGAAGAGGGAAAATGGCAATGCTTTCTGTGTATCCACGTAGAAAGGAAACACATTCACACATTAATGGTTCAAGTTTCCATGCATTCCAAAGGCTCACATTGCATTTCTCCCTCCTGTCTCTTCCCCCAGCTACGCGGTACCCCACATCAGAACTACTGATGTTATTTTTTGTATTCTTCCAGAGATGTTTTATACACGTGTGTGTGCACACACATATACACACACATGAAATATTTATACATAAGGACATATCCCCCTTTTAAATAAATGTATCACACTGAAGAATTTGTTTTTATACACATACAAACAATATGTATCTAATCACCCCTTTTAAATAAATGTATCACACTAAAACATTTAATTTTTTAGATGGGCCACAGGTGATTCTGATGCACACCAGAGAAAGGGAACCATTGTTGTAAAGCAGAGGCTACAAAACAGCTTTCCAAATCAGTTCATTGCCACAGTGTCTTGTTTTGTTTTCAAGTGAGTTAATGGCTAATGTTTAAAAATCATGAAGTTTTACATAAAAATCAAAAATTCTAGCTTCTCTTGAGAAATTAAAAAGTCAGGCAACACTGAACCCAAATCCCACTTGGTCCTAATGGGCTGGATGTGAATAACCACAGTCCCCTTCGACACCAGTTGGACGTTCCTGTCCCCATTTCAACACAATCCAGCACACTCCCTAGTATCTCTCCGTGGAATGTCCGTTGTTTTTATCCACGGCTTTCTGTTGTTTTCCTTACAGTAGGGTTGAGAGGGAGAAAAAATGCTGTATCTTGAACCCCTATTTCTGTCAAACACAGAAGAAGGAAGAACCAAGAGGAGGAACATGCGTATTTGGAAATGTAAAATATTCCTTCCTATTTAATACGCAGCATGAGTCTGGCTCTCTTCCCTCATTTCTAGGTGCCTGCTGTCCGAAACATGTGAGGTAGAGTATGGCTCCCCGCATACAGATTTATATGTACTGAAGCACAGAATAAATATGGATGAGCACAGGAAGGCTATTTCCCAGTATCTGAGAAAAACTCCACCCAACATTTTACTTCCTCCACAAAGCACTGAAGTGTGTGGTTAGTGGCATAGATAGTGTTTTTGCTTTGGTTCTACAGAAGGATAAAGGAAGGAAAGATATTGGTCTTCATTTTTTTGGACACTTTAGTGGCCTCCAGGGCCTCAACCCAGCCTCCTTTCTGGATTTGGTCCTGTCCTGGCTAATACCTTCTCTCTTTTTTTTTTTTTTTAAAATTTTATTTATTTATTTGAGAGAGAGAGAATGAGAGAGAGAGAGAGCACATGAGAGGGGGGAGGGTCAGAGGGAGAAGCAGACTCCCTGCCGAGCAGGGAGCCCAATGGGGGACTCGATCCCGAGACTCCAGGATCATGACCTGAGCCGAAGGCAGTCGCTTAACCGACTGAGCCACCCAGGTCCCCAATACCTTCCCTTTTGAAAAGCTTTTGAAATTTGTGAAAATCCTGTTCTTTTTCTGTTCCCAGGACAGCCTTGGTCTGTCTTTTCTCTGTCAGTTACAACTGGGCTTAGTTGCCTGTAACAGAAACCAAAGTAGCAGCGGCTTCAATCACATTGGACTTTATTGCTGTCACAGGAAAGAAGTCTGAATTAGGCAGTTCCCAGGTGCTCCATCATCACCAAAGGCCTAGGCTCCTTCCATCTGCATGCTCCACAGCTTCTGTTATGGCTAACTAGAGAAGGAGGAAAGGAGCACAGAGAGGGGAAAGATGGATATGCCCCCAGCTGAATCAGCTCTCATTAACTAGGCCCCCATGTCTCTCTCACATCTCATTGGCCAGAACTCTAGTCACATGGTCATGCCTATCTGCAAGGGAGGTTGGGAATTGTAGTCTTTTATCTTGGCACATGGCTGTCCCTCGAAAATTGGATTTTTGTTTTGAAGAGAGAAGAGAATAGATATTGGATAGTGAACTAGTACATTCTGTCACTGGTGCCATCTAAAACCTTCTATATTATTGGAAATAAAAGGAAATTCAATAAGCTTGCTTTGAAAACTTGCTTCATTTGCCAGTGAGGTAACTTGGATAGTCCTGGGGTTGAGAATAGCAGAAAAGAAGCAACAAAATTCTCCAAGGGAATCTTAAATAATTAGCTGTGGCACATCAAAGCATTTATTTTTTCAAACCAATGTTTTTAGGCACTGATAATAACTAGGAGCCATTCTAGGCAACTGAGTTGTGATAAAATAAATCTCCCAAGAATCTTCAGCCTATAAATGAGTTTTTAAAGATACGGATTTGCTAAAATGATTGTGCAACTGACTTTAAAGCAATTTTCTTCTCATGTTTAGATAGAAGATTATATGGTCTTTATAATGGTTAGAGTCTCTGTCATTCTAATTTGTCGAGAGGCAGAATACTCCAGTGGTTAAAACATCTGGGTTTAGGGGCGCCTGGGTGGCTCAGTTGGTTAAGCGACTGCCTTCGGCTCAGGTCATGATCCTGGAGTCCCGGGATCGAGTCCCGCATTGGGCTC